ACCACTTCTGAGCGGCGGATGCAATTTTGAGGGATTCGATCCCACGCCCACAAGAATGGACTGCGACCTGAACGCAGCGCCTTAGACCGCTCGGATATCCTGACTTCTTGTAGAATCCAGAAAGATATAAGTTTATTTTAAATGCAGAGTTTGAGAAAGATTATGTACGGCTAAAATGAAAATAAAATTTTGTTTTAATGTCAGAAGTGGGATTCGTACCAACGCCCACAAGAGTGGATTTCGACCGGAAAGCAGCGCCTTAGACCGCTCGGCCATCCTGACTTCTTGTAGAATCCAGAAACATATAAGATCATTTTAAATGCTGAGTTTGGGAAAGATTATGTACGGCTAGAAATTAGAAGGAAAACAAAATTTCACATTTATGTCAGAAGTGGGATTCAAACCCACGCCCACAAGAATGGACTGCGACCTGAACGCAGCTCCTTAGATCGCTCGTATATCCTGACTTCTTGTAGAATCCAGAAATATATAAGTTTATTTTAAATGCAGAGTTTGAGAAAGATTATGTACGGCGAGAAATTAGGAGGAAAACAAAATTTCAGATTTATGTTAGAAGTGGGATTCGAACCCACGCCCACAAGAGTGGACTGCGACCTGAACGCAGCGCCATAGACCGCTCGGACATCCTGACTTCTGGCAGAATCAAGAAACATATAAGTTTATTTCAAATTAAGAGTTTGAGAAAGATTATGTACGGCTAGAAATTAGAAGGAAAACAAAATTTCAGATTCATGTCATAAGTGGGATTCGAACCCACGCCCACAAGAGAGGACTGCAACCTGAACTCAGCGTCTTCGACCGCTCGGCCGTTCTGACATGTTTTAGAGTCATGTAACAGATAAGTTTATTTAAATGGAGAGTTTGAGAAAGATTATGCACGGCTGGAAATTAGAATTTCATATTCATGTCAGAAGAGGGATTTGAACCCACGCCCACAAGAGTGGACTTCGACCGGAAAGCAGCGCCTTTGACCGCTCGGCCATCCTGACTTCTTGTAGAATCCAGAAAGATATAAGTTTATTTTAAATGCAGAGTTTGAGAAAGATTATGTACGGCTAAAATGAAAATAAAATTTTGTTTTAATGTCAGAAGTGGGATTCGTACCAACGCCCACAAGAGTGGA